GAAGTTTTTATTTATTTATTTTTTTATTTATTTATTTATTTATTTATTTATTTGGGACACAACAAGTTATAAATGTGAACCAGTTGCCAAGCATCTGAGTTTTGATCACGGTTATGGTGTGCTGCAAAGGTCGTAACTGTGAAAAAAGGGTCATTAAGTCACTTTTTTCAGTGCCGTTGTAACAATCACTAAATGAATGGTTGGAAATCAAGGACTACCTGTACTTCATTGCTATACATACCCTATGTGATTCCAAGTACAAAGGAAGATGGTATAATATCAAACTGATTTATCAGCAAGTAAGAATAAAATTAGAACAAGCAACTTTTGATTTCCAATGTTGGGTGCCAAAAATGCCAGGGTGTGCACACAATGGCACGTGTGCGGGCACCCATAATGTAAAGTGCCCCCCACATGCACATGCATGTACAACCCCACACACGGGCTGCACTCCTCGCCTCCAAGTTGAGCTTGGTATTTCCCCCGGGAGGCCAGGGAAAGTCCCTCTGAGGAAATTTCCTCCGAAGGGTGAAAGTTAGGCCCATCGGGTCCATTTTTTGCCCTCCTCAGGCTCTGGAGGCTTTCCCCTGGCCCTCTGTAAGGCTGAAAATCAACTGGCTGGCATGCGTATGCACGCTGGAAATGACAGCTCACATGCCAGCAGATATGGCTCCGTGTGCCACCTGTGGAACACGTGCCATAGGTTCGACATCACTAGACTCTAGCATAGTTTTAATTCTCTATCCATTTTTGCTAACTTTATGAATGAAACTAATTTGAAAACCTTAGTTCATAACCTCAAAATTCTAAGCAATACCACCAATTCACTCTTCCTGGTTAAAAGATGTATCAAATACTCTCTATAAAATCTAAATATTGTGGTGGTGTGTGTGTGTGTTATATTTTTAGGTACATTTTTGGGTGAGACAGTCATAAATTGAAGAAGGTTCAAAGTAAGTTATTAGTGAAAACATCATACATTATCAAATGTTTCCTAATTAAAAATAGTAAATAGAATTAAAATACAACTGTAAAATAAACATACGCACAAAAGAACATACTATTACTCATTCCCCAATCCATCAAAAGAGTTTGTAGTTGTCCCACAATCTCCTTCAATTCTGACAAAATACAAAGAACATTTAGAAACTTTCAGCTCTCTCGGTCCTCTCTCTTGCTAATAAATAGTAACAAAATTCCCTGCCTCATATTTTTAGTACAGGATATGTGAACTCGTTTAGCCAATTGAAATTTTAAAAAAATTCTGGTTGTTTCAAGGGGAGCCTTTCTGGCTGCAGAAGGCTGCCATTCCTTCTGTTTCTATTTAAAAGCAAATGTGATTTGTAAAGTCAAGAGGTTAGCATTTCAGTATTCTTTGCAACCAAGCACTTTTCACAGTAGAACCTGGCCGCTTGCTACTGCAGCTGCAAAACTGCAAATATTTGCAACTTTTCCCAGGTTTGCAGAGTTGCAGTGAAATTGACAGGATTGAACGTTTCCCTCATTTCTTCAGAGAACCAGAAATAAGGCTTTCTAGATTTTCTTTTAACAACTGCCTTGTTACTGGATTAATTCATTTGATCCCAGGAGATGAAGTTACAAAAGAAAACCTTTGCTCTGACTATCCATCTATATATCTATCTAAACAGCATATTATATAATGTTCTCTACTCCTATGATTTACTCATTGTATATTTTTATGCTATATAAAGCCTTTTTTCCTCAAGACATATATTTACATCAAAATTTTCCTCATGTACTTATCTCAACTTTTTACAAAGTAAATGAAGTAAATGAACTTATTTTTTAGCACTTGCAAAAGTCCAGCACAATCATATGGTAGCATTTTATTTCAATTAATATCACAACATTTCTGAAATGCGATATTGCAGGAATAAATACTGTATTTTAAGAATCTATATATATATAGTTCATTTGCTCACAAATAAAGTCAAACTATGCTCGTATGTTTAAACATACTAGCATTGGATTTGCTTGTTAATTTCTCTTGCTTAAAAGTAACCATTGATTAAAATATACACTGATTTTTAAAACACATCTGTTCAGAAATAAGTTTTTTCAACTTCAGTATAGCTAGTTTTTGAGAAGCAAGCTCAATTTATCACTTATAATGAGGTGTAGAATACTACTTAGGTTCTTTTCAAAGAACACATTTATTTAAATTTCCCATTGAAAACAAACATTACAAAGGTTTCACATACACATAAACAAATTCTCCTTTTTTATGGAAGCCTTAATAACAAATTAACATTTTTATTTTCTAAAATATACTGATGATAAAAGTAGAACAAAGGCAAGTTCACATTTCATCAGAAATGAGGCTAAATTCAACTCTTCCCTTCTGAGGCATACATGTCTGAAAGTCATTAATGTATTAAAACTAAGCATGAAAACTAGAGAAATATGATACATTAAAAAAAAAACTCTCAATGTTTCCAAACGCCAGTGCACCTTGTAGTTTAAATAATGTTCACTTCTCTACAAACAGCTGGCCTGAGTGAGCAATCAAACTTGCAATTCTGGGGAGGGAGGTAAAATTAAAATTCAGATACACATAAAAGCAAAATTAGAAACTGCCTAGTTTTGTTTGCAAGACAAATCCTTCCCGAATAAGCTAAAATGGAGACAGAATTTCATCTCTGCCCTGGAGAAACAGACAGAAAGGGCAGGAGAGACAGGGCCAGGTCAAGGTCACTAGCAGGGCAGTTTGCAGCTGCTTGCATTGCTCTTTAACAGCAAGCACAACAGGCCTTCCAAACTCTACGCCCAGACTTTCTGCGCGCGCGGGCGCACACACACACACACACACACACACACGTTAGAAACAAAACAACTTTATATTTCAAATTCTCATTTGCTGCTATGTTGTCTTGTATTTCACAACTAGACACTTTTAAAACACAAACGTGTCTCTCCCTGTTTCTTGCAAAGCATCACTATCATCCCCCCCCCCCCCCCCAGAGAATAGGGAAACGGCAATAGGAGTCCCTTGCGGGTTCATGAAACTCACTTATACAAGCTTCCTGAATTCGGTTTTCATAGGTGCACGACTCTTGGCTTTATAACTATAAGCATATCCCTTTTTAAAATCGTGAGGCCGACAGCAAGGTGGCCGGGGGAGGGGGGAATGAATGTGGAATCGAGCCCTATGCTGGGAGGGGTCAAACAGGAAGCCCTTCAGCCCCGAGTTTACGCGGCAAGGAAAAGGAAGGCTGTGCGCGCGCGCTCCCCCAAGGGCCATGCCGTGCCCTGCCTTTTCCCTACCTCAGCCCCGGATCATGTGTGCCAGGCTGATCCTGTATTCTGGGCGGCGAGAGGTGGGGGGGGCGGCAGGAGGGAGAGGAAGAAGTGGTTATCAGCCTAGGACAGGGCGGCGGCGGGGGGGGGGAAGTGGGAGGGAGCGAGGTTGGTAGCCCAGTGAATCGTTCCCTCTATCAACTCTCGTTAATTATACAGGTGAACCAGTAATCGATCGCCTTTTCCCCTACGATGAGGGCATGGTCGCTCACCCCCCCCCCCGGACACACGAGCACCCCTCCTCATCAGCCACCCGCCACAATCTTCGCTTTGCCTTCCTCTCGCTCCCCCTCCCGGGTGAACTTCAGGTGACCGACCGTGGCTTTGACACATAAGCAGTTCAGCCTGCCGACAACGAACCTCGGGGCGCAGCCAGGGAGGGGCCAAGCGAGGCTGCACTGAACGTCGGTGCGGGGGCAGGGAGGGAAGGCGGGGGGGGGGAATGACCCTTCCAATCCACCCCCGCCTTCATTCCTCTTTTCTTTGGAGAGCAACCAGAAGGAGCCCCGAGTGGCTTTAAAGGTCTTTTTCAAATGTGTTCTCTTATTCGCCCGGATATATTTCCCCTTCCTTCTCTGCAAAGAACGCCCGGCCGCTTCTCCATTCCAGAGGGAAGCAGAAGAAAAAAGTTAACTGCTTTGCGAAGAATTGAGGAGGAGGAAGAGGAGGAGGGCTGGGGTGGAAGGGGGCGCGCAAACCAGCGGGGAAGGTTTGGGGGGGGAGAGAACTGCGGTGTGGTATGTGCGCTGCCCGCACCGGGTGGAGAAGTGGGGGCGATGTGCGCTCTCCAGCCCTTCCTGCCTTCTGCTGGTCTGCTCTGGGGCAGGGACGCGGAAACCTCTGGCTCGCCGAGGCTGCAGCTGACCCTTCATTTTATTGCAGCGAGGAGGCGAAGCAGACTCCAGTTCGCCTGGCACCGCCGCTGCTATGCCGCCGCCTCCGCCTGCAGAGGTCCCTCTGCAGGGACCTCGCATGCCACGATCTCCCTCTCGCCCTCCCCGCACTTCTCGGCGGAGGCAAAGCGGAAGACCCACAGGACTCTCCTGTGTCCCTCTATCCTATCCCCCCCCCTCCACCCCGCCGCTGCCTCGCCCTCCCCGCTGCTCTTCGCCTTCTCCCGCCTCCTTCCCGGCTCCCGAGGCCGACCAGCCCAGCCGCAACCTTTAGCCGGAGACGGACCTCGCAATCGATTCCGCACAAGACACCAGAAAACCCTTCCCTTTGCGACTCCCCACCCCAATAAAAAAACACCCCCTTCAGACTACAGGGGAGAAACCCGTCCGTACACGCACACAAATGCACAATCAAAAGAAAGGGGAGGGGAAAGAGCTGGAAGAGCGAAGAAAGAGAGGAGGGAAAGCCACACATACACATACACACGCACTCCCTCTCTCGCGCTCACACAGACGCACTCAGACACACAGGGAGAGAGAGAGACGGGGAGAGAGAGGAGGAAAAAAATTAAAAGGGCACAAGGCTGTTCATCACCAACATGGCTGCCTTAGCTCAGACCTAAAAGAGGCATAACCCGGGTGCTGTCTTTGTCAGTTTCACCTCTGTAACCCTAAACTAATGCACAAAACAACGGAGGAGGCTGCAGAGGGGGAGGACGGGGACAGGCAGAGGTGGAAAAAGGGGGAAGGTAGGGGGACAGAGAAGAGGGGGAAAAAGGGAGCACTTACGTGAAGAGAGGCGCTTGGGTTGCTCCTGCTTCCTCCTGGGCATTTTCCCCCCTTTTCACATTCTCCTCCTTGGTTTAATGGGAGACCAAAGGAAAAAAAAAATCCCAAAGAGGGACAGAGGCAGGCACAAAGCGGGGCAAGGGGAGCTGCCCAGCAGAGGTTGCTTTTCTTCTCGTGGGCAAGGGGGGGGAGGCGGTTAGAAAGCCGCTTTTCCTGGAGCCAAGGGGAAGGGATTCCCCGCTCCCCTTTTCCTTGCCCTTCCTCCCCCACCTTTTCTTTTTCTGCCCCCCGGTCGTGCACCTGGTTTGTCCCCGGTCGTAATATTCCTCAATGGAAATGGATCTAATGGACGAGGGGAAGAGTGTGTGCTCATATGCGGTGCCAATAATGAGGGCTGGTGCGGCGGTGTCTATGGCTGCTCCCTGTGTGTCTCCAAGCCCCTAACTAACACTAATGCAGGGATCAAAGGGCAGCGGCGGCGGCGGTGCTCGCAGCTCACACACAGGCTGGGGAGGGAGGGGGAGAAAAGGAGAGAGAGAGAGGAGACGAGACACACACACGCACACAAGGCAGAGCGAAGAAGGAAGGTGCCCCCAGGCTCTTAGGCTGTACTTTACACACCGAACTGCGAGCGCTCTTCCTCGCGAGGTTCAAGGGGGGACAAAGGCGGTCGCCGCCAGGATGCGCCCCCATCCCCCCCCCTTAGAACCGTTGGGAGAAGGAACGGGAGGGGGAATCCCACGTCGATTGCAAAATAAAATGGTCTGAGAAAATACTGTAAAGGTCAAGTCGGTGCGATAATATTTTGGGCGTGGAGAAAGGAAGGTGATCACATAACTAAACTGAATTACGCCAACTATGTATGCAAACACAGTCTCCTTTAATAAATCAAAGCGTCGGGGGAGGCAAGCATAGGAACATCCTTTATAATTTCTGGGTGTAAAGAATGGAAGTGGAGGGGTGGAGCAAGATTAGGTCAGCCCTAATAATTGATTCTGGAGTATACTCACATTGACTTCTGAGTTTATAGTTTATTTCTGCATAAATGCGGGTTTGGAGAAACATGATTGAAACCTTCCTAATGAATAGCACGAAGCCTGGAATGCATTTATTTACCGATACGGGGCTTTCATTGCCGTACAAAACCATATATTTTTCTATCGAGACAAAACATGAAGAGAGGGTGGGTGCGGGTGGAGGAATGGAGAAAGGTTTGAATCCACCCCCAAAAAAGTATTGGAAAAGAGAAAGGTTATTTTTGTGTTTAACTTCCAGTCAATTGAACAGAGATTTATGCTGAGGTACTTGATGATTTCACCTCTAAAACTTGTTAATAACAATGGAAGTGAAATGATTGGAGGCACAAGTGGCTTTTCAGAAACCTCACTAACTTTGAACTTGGTAGCTGACATAAAGTGAATAATGACTCAGATATTTTTACATAAAGTGTTTTAATGGGCTATTCTCTCTTTTTATATTCTTGCTTTTGGCAACCTTACTCACCGTTGCACTAGTTCAGAGTTATTCTTGCCAGTGGTAGTCATTTCTTTTACAAAAAGAACAATATTGTCAATTTATTGTATAAAGTCTGAATGGTACCAGTCAGCAGTCCATATTTAGGCCTATATAAATTACACCATGAGAGTAGGCAGCAAATACTGTTCAATAAAATTACATTTCTTGATACTTTCAATTTTCATCCTCTCACCTTCTATTTTGTTTTTAATTCTTAACTTCTTTTAATTATCATATTTTATAGTATACATTATGTAGGACTTTAGATATAGATGCAGATGCTAGTCAAGCACCGCATTAAAATTTAATACATATCCATCCAAGAGAAGTCCAGCTAAGCTTGATTTTTCACTTCATTGATGGCTCATCATATATGTTGGTTTCCTGATGCATATTCCAATGAAGAATGTCATTTGAGTAGAACAGGTATGTCCAAAGTCTGACCTGGGGGCCAATTGCGGCCCATTTTCAAATTTCGAGCAGCCCGCCGCCTCTTCTCCCCGCCAGAATTATTTGTTTAGGCTTTCATAAAATAGTTCACTTGCATTTAATGTTAATGGTTCAAATGTCAGGCTGAATGGTCGGCCCCACACATTTTCACCTCACCAAATCTGGCCCTCATTGCAAAAGGTTTGGACACCCTTGGAGTAGAACAAGTATGTTTTCAAAGGTGATTCTAGTTCATTAAAATTAAATAGGAATGGAAAAATTATAGGTATGTGTGCATTTCAAAGAACAACAAATATAATAGCTCTGTTATTATATAATAAACTGTTACTTTGCACTTATTATACACACACACACACACACACACAGACACACATTTGTATGAAACAGTGCTGTAAAGTCATGCAAACTCCAATATAACTCCAGTACGCTTGAGTCAGGAATTGTGTAGTTTTTGCTCCATTAAATTCATATCTTTTGAGTTGTTTCCACATTATTCTATTTTAATTATACCAAATAAGTCATTTCTACAAATGAGAAAAGGGCTTGGTTCTCATGCCTGGTATCCTACAGCAACGTTCAATGCGTTTCATGCATTTTGCAGGAATGCTTAAAACAAACTGAAATCTAGTTCAAATAGATAATGCAAAAAACAAAACACTTTTATGAAATAGTCTTAATAGAATAGATTTAGAAATCCTCTTAAAAGTCCTGAAGTATACTTTTTGCCTTTTAAACAGTAGAGACTTATAAATTCAAATAAGTTTACGTTCATATGTTTATGTTCAGCTAAACCTTTTAAAATGAACTGAAGATGGTTTGAACTGCTGGTTTATCTGTATCATGTTAGATAATTGGAATCGTCTGTCTGTGAGCTTTGGACTGACCTTGTAATAAAAGATGGAAATTAACTTGAATAATCACATGTACAATAGAACATTCTTACAACTACTTTTAAAATAACTAAAATGTTACATTCTGGAGCTAATGGATTGCTTTAAGGAAGCTATAAGTGCTGATGCACTTGAATAATAGGATTTAAC